AGAAGTCACGTCTCGCATCATTCTCATTCGGAACAAACGAATGCCCAGAATCCAAGTGAGCTTCTCTACCCAAAGCCCGCGCCTCTTTGCTTTGCCCCTTCCTGTGCACGTGCTTCAAACAGGCAAGCTCAAACCATTGGTCACAACAGTGAACTGGAGGCTGGAATCGATGCCAACAGCACATGAGAGCAGAAGCCAAATCATGCGTTCTCCCTCTGCACCAAAAACAGCTGCACAAAGGATTAAGCGAATCAACATAGGTGGCTGCCATCGATGCCGACGCGTGCAAATCCGCCTGAGCGCCTTCGAGGCAGAGGCGGAGCCTGCCAAAATTGGAGTGGATCCAGTTGCCATAGGTAAAACCTGAAAGGAACATGGCTCACCCGTAACCGTAGCTGTGCTCTTCTTGGGCTAGCCATCAAACATGCGGTTGTAAATCCCCAAATTGTCTGTGTGTGGCTTGTAAGTGGAGAAGTCTCACCGTGAACTGAGCGCACGCCTTGGGCCGAGGAACCCGACCTGATGACTTGCGCAGAGGCTGTCACATGTTGATTGCCATCGAACCAAGCTGGATGTTTCATCTGGGTACCCATCCCCTTTAGGTGTCCCTTTTTACCCTTCGAGGGCTATTTAGCACCCAGTTCTGCAAAGAAAGCCTTAGCCTCAGGCCCCGGCATCTGGCCCTCACTGCTCGGCTCGTCTTGGCCTAAAGATTCGCCTTCCCCCTTGAAGCCTTACCTCTCTTCTGCCAGACTAAACGCATGCAAACGATTTCTTCCGAAACCCAGCCACGATTTGTAACTGTTTCCTCAATTCACTTGAACGAGATCCAGGAAACCCCCGGTTTGACACGCACATCCAAAAAGGGTCCTTCCAGAAGAGGTTACCTGGGCTCACTGCTGCCAGGCGTGCGCGGGGTGGCAGGTGATGCTCCTGCGGTGAAAATGCTTTCCTTTTCGGTCGACTTGTTCGACTAATATGAGAGGGGTGTCTATTGCTCTTTTGAGAACCTCACAAAATTGTTGTTTCCCCTTGGTTTCTCTTTTCCCAGCCCCAAAAAGGGTACCGACAAAAAACATGGCCATTTGTGGCAGAAAATGATGCCAGGGTCCAGGAAGACAACACGAAACTATTGGAGTGGCCTCTTTGACTTGCGGATGGTGAAATCGTCATGATGATATGGACACGCCGAACTGCAAGCATCAAGTCCAAAGCAAGGCTGTCTTCTAGGAACATTGCGCCTGGACACTATAGTGTAGCTTGCATCAAGGATTCTGGCACAAGATTTAGCCGCGCGCAAAGCGATCACTCCCACATAGCTGTGTCGGCGGGGGGGTTGCTTCGAGGCTGCCCTTGGCACCTTGCGAAACCCACGAGCGACCTCGCCTCTGGCGGCTTGAATGGCTGCCAAGGCCCTCTCCTTCTCGCCTGAACTCCGGACTGGCTGAATTGCTCACCAACCAGAAACAAGGATTCGGGCAACTCCTCGGCATGGATACTTGACCAACCAAGTGGTCAATGTGTTGCCTCAGTTTCTGACTTCGGGGCCCTAGAAACTGTGAAGAAACATAGGGCATCCTGCTGGTCTAAGCTCCAGGGCTCGGGCTGGGCTCACGACGCTCGCTTCGCCACGTCTCCAAAACCGAGCCGTGGTGGCCGACTGGGCCTCCCAACTCGCGCACGGTCGCTTAATAGCTGCTGGAGTTGCAGAGGGTGTTCCGAATTGCCCGGAAGAAACAAGTCTTTGGTCAGACTTCACACCACCTTTCAGATATGTTGATTCCAATTATGCTTGCCTCAAAATAGGTCTCCCCTTGGTGGTTTGTCTGCAATTTCCCTTTGAGCCGGGTCATTGCCATCAAGGAAACCAACACACCCCCACTCTCCGCCTAGCCAACTTGAGAAGCCATACGGTCCATCCGCGCCTGGTACCTGGACCTCAGGCGTGGCAAGTTGATTGAACCAAGAAGCATCGGACGGATGGGGTGCACTTAGCGCTCTGGCATGGAATGGTTGCGATGGGATGCTGGCTTTGGGCATTTGAGTTAAAACTTGTGCGCGCAACGCAAACGCTGCGACGGAACTTGGACCAACCTGCCGCTACACCGGCCTTCGACCAATCTCTTGTGGAAAGATTGTGCGCTCTGACTGCCACGGGCAGAAATGCTGCGACCCACGGCAAACATTGGGAAACTGGTGCCTCTCCCGGAATTGTTCAAAGCCTTCAAGTTGATTCCTCAGGAACCAATTTTTGAAGGAAGAAAAATCGTATGGCAAAATCGTAAGGCCCAAAACGCCCACAAATATAGCCCACGGCTTGGACGAACCTGTTTCTGAGCTGCCGCGCTTGTGGCTGCGATGGCTTCGGCCTCACCTTCGCCTGGGGCTCGCCCTGAAAGCCTAGGCCTCACGAAGCGGAGCGCTGTTTAGCTTCAAGTTGCCGTTTCTCGGCAGCCTTTTACGGCGCAAGGGTCCCCTTCCATTCGTCTTGCCCACCAATGGGCGCTGAAGCTACAATGTGCAATGAGGGAATCCAAACCCAGTGGAACATGAAATCGTAGCAAAACCCAGAAAACATCAGCCTCAACCGACGCATCAAACAACTTGCCCAAATCCCGACGCGATCGCAAGAAACGAGACTACTTCGACTTCCAACAACAGCTCTGCCAACTGGTATCATGGGCCGCCTTTAGCATGTGCTTGTGTATGGTTGCACCATATATTTTCTGTAACTGGATCCACTGGGGCCATTACAATCCTTGCAATAGGCTGGAAGGATCTGTCGCATGCGCGCTGAGCGCAGGACGTGGGCTGGCCACATGCAAGCCAGCAAATTTCCTCTGGAAGCCTGCAAGCCAGCAAATTTCCTGGGCTAGGCAATGTGATTCGCCTGACTGTACAGTTCTCCACCGGGCTTCCCACTCAATACAAACAGGACCCCCGGCCACATTTTTGCGCAACAAAAGGACAACCCAAATCGGGAACCCATGCGGCCACAAGAGAAGCAGAGCCGGGGGTTCTATTTCGCACATCAGGCACGCTTCCGCACGTCGTGTAGGCTAAGAGCCACTGGCAACTAGCATACCGCGGCACTCCAATCTCCGGGCGCAACTTGTTCTTGGCGACCTCTAGCCAGTCAGGCCCTAAGCTCAAGCTTTGCAGGCAACTGAGCAAAGTCACCCTTGTCAAAGGTTGGTGGAAGCCATTGCCAGAAGCCAAGCTTTGCAAGTTACTGGGCAAAGTCACCCTCGCCAATGGCTGGTTGAAGTTGTAGCCAAAAGTCAAGCTTTGCAGACTGCTGGGCAAAGTCGCCCTCTCCAAAGGTTGGTTGACGTCCTCGCCAATCGTCAAGCTTTGCAAGCTACTGGGCAAAGTCACCCTTTCCAAAGGTTGGTTGAAGCCGCCGCCAAGAGCAAGCTTTGCAGGCTATTAGGCAACCTCGCGTTCTCCAACGGTTGGTTGAAGTTGTCGCGAAAAGTCAAGCTTTGCAAGCCGCTGGGCAGAGTCACCTCGTCCAATGGCTGGTTGAAGTCGTAGCCAAAAGTCAAGCTTTGCAGGCTACTGGGCAAAGTCTCCCCCTCCAATGGCTGGTTGAAGTCGCGGCCAAAAGTCAAGCTTCGCAGACTTCTGGGCAAAGTTGAAGTTGGAGCCAAAAGCCAAGCTTTGCAGGGCACTGGGCAGCGTTGCACCCTCCAAAGGCTTGTTGTAGAAGAAGGCAACAGTCAAGCTTTGCAGGGTGCTGGGCTGCGTCGCCTTCTCCAGAGGGTGGTTGAAGTCGTTGCAAAAAGCCAAGCATCGTAGGCTACTGAGCAGCATCACCCTCTCCAAAGGCTGGTTAAAACTGAAGCCAAAAGTCAAGCTTCGGCCGCTTGGATATTGGTTTCCCCTCTTCTTTCCTTTTAAACCTCCAACAAGAGGCACCCTAAACAAACACACGCATATATATATATATACACACATATGTACACACATACAAATTAAATATATAGGTGCGTCTTTTGTTGGGCGCCCTCCCCTTAGGGGAAACCAAGCAAGCCACATTTTGAGGGCTCCCCTATTTTGAGACAAACCCACATATATATACATATCTGCATAATACCCCCCCTGGAATACCCAGGTTTCCGTCCAAACATTGTAAAAATGCATGCGACCCTGCACTTTTCGGCTTCTAAAATGAAGCTCAAAAATTGCACTCTTTTTTAGACCTGAAGTATACCGCCAGGACTTAGTGCAATCCAGGATCTGCTAGAACGCACCCGCATATCCTGGTTTGAAGATTGAAGATTGAAGATTATCTGGCAACTCTTGCTGAGATTCTTCAGATCTATGCTTAGGGGGATCCAGGATGTGCTAGCACGTTCTAGCACATCCTGGATTGAAGATTTATCTCACAACTCTTTCTGGGATTCTTGAATCTTCAATCTTCGATCCAGGATGCGCTAGCACGTGCTAGCACATATCAGTTTGACCTAAGTATTGCTTTGAAGATTTCCAGAACAGCGGTCTGAGAATCTCCAATCTTCAAGCTTCAATCCAGGATGTGCTAGCATGTGCTGGCACAGCTTGGATTGCCCTGCATACATAGTTGAAGAACCCCAGAAAGAGTTGTCATGATTCTTCAATCCTCAATCCTCAATCCAGGATGTGAAAGCAGATCCTGCCTTGCCCAAGTATGGAATCTGAAAAGGTGGGCAAGCAGAGCACGTTCCAAGAGTCACAGTGTGGATGTGCACCGCCTGCGTTTTGCCAAGGAGGGAAACATGTGTTTTGCAAGCTGTACAGCTTTTGTGGGACTTGAGGGCTGGCCAGGATGGATGATTCTCAAAAACAAAATCGGGAGATCTTCAATCTTCAATGCAAGTGGGAAAACCTTAAAGAGTCTAGCAAAACTGTCAAGTCTTTTGGGGGCCAGGATTGAGGATGTTCTAAAACAATGTCTGCGGAATCTTGAATAGTTGGCCTTTGATCCAGCACAAACTCCAACCTGACTTGAAGCGCGCGTCGCGTTCGAGCTGTTCAACTAGGAGCTCCTTTTGAACGTTGAGCTTCACTTCTGCTTTGTTTGACTTTGCCTCGAGTTGCACGTCCTCCCAGCTCAGCTCACAGTCCCCCAGTCTGGCCAAAATCTTCAGTTCTGGGCGGAAACCTGAGTATTTCAAGGGGGGGTAAAATATACACATACATATATCTGTATATATAAATATATACATATAATGTTTGGGGGGGAAATCGGGAATCTCTTGGTGGGCATCATGAAGGTGGCACATCAAATTCCCACTGAACAAAATATGTCCAATCAATTTTGAGGGGACTCAACCACAGATCATGCTTGCCCCAACTGAAAGCTATGGGATCTCTGCCTGAAGCTCCGGGTGGTTCGGAGCAGCTTTCAGGGAGAGTTGCGGAGGGTTCCGTGGCTGCTGGGGATACTTGGGCTTATTCTCCACCCCATTTGCGCGCCGCGGCGCATCCGCTGTGAGGAGCTCTGGGACATCTGGCTCTTCTCCGCCGATCTGCCCGGACTGGATTGCCAGGAAGCGGATGATGCGAACGAAGGGGATCTTGGCTGAGAAGCTCGAAGCTCCACCCAACAACGAACCTTAAAATCAGGGGGACATTGTTTGGGGCAGATATGGCCACCAACTGCGTTTAAGGGGGTTCCTTCCGCATTGACTAAGGCCAAAATTCGGTAGACCTATGTGCACGGCCACGCAAAGCACGAATCACATTTCAGCAAGGCACGGAATGGCCGCAATGTCCGGGGCTTCCGGATGGATGTCCTGTTCAACATCCCGCAAGCCCTGGCCGGCGAAAATTGAAAAGAACGCGCTGTCGCCATGCAAGGCGTGCCAAACACGGCTTGGGTTGTCCCTTTGGCTTCCCTTTAAACCAACCCACCCAAAGGAATGACAACAGAACGAGCGGCCTGCCATGGCTGTGCTTCGGAGAGCAACTCGGCCTGTCCGGAGTCGGATGCGGTGATTGAAATCTAAGGTTCCCTCCCCCAAGGCGGATACCGTGGATGGACGAAATCCTGCACCATCTAAGAAACCCTGGAATGATAGAGTCCCCTGTAAATACCAACAAACAATGGCTCCACAGCAATTATGAGTTTCTTTTTTGAGGCTACCACACCCATACGGTCAAACCATGATTTATCAAAGACCGAGTGACGGATCCAGAAGCATCGGGTGCATTGGTCTGGGTCAATTGAGGCTTCATCAAAGCCCCTCCCCCAGTTGGCTGTGGCTCAACAAATGGTACTCAAAATGGAACCTTGGTATATGGAAACACTAAGACGAAAGCCTGCGTAACCCCAGTTCCATTTTGAGACACATCCTGTCATCCAGAATCGTCCCTCAAAAGTCTCAACCCGCGAGCCTCGTATGCTTGCGCCGCCTGCCAGTCTCCCCAAGGGAAAGCCGTCGAAAGGAGCAACAATAGCGAACATATGTCCCCCCCTCTAACAACCGTCCCAAAGAAACATCTCGGGACCTCTCGGGTTTTCCAACTGTTCCGCTCCAAACATCACCCCAGGAAACTTGTTTCAACTTCAGATGATTCCAACCGCCAAAAGAGGCAATAGAGGGAGCCCGCTTGCATGTTTTGCTCCAGCAGCGATGAGAGCCGGGCAGCTATCTGCCGACGCAAGTCCTCCACAACCTGTTCCAAGCGACGGAACTTGCTTGGGGTTGGACAAGCAGACCTGCACTAAGTGTCTGCCGACCTGTAACTAATTTCACGCCAAGGCTGTTGACTTAGATCTTTCTCACGGAGCGTTGCTTTAAGGAATAGGAGGAAGGCTCTTGCCTGTAAACTGTTTCTGGCAGACAATGGGATCCTGCCTCGTTCCGCCGAGTTCGCCGAGTATCCTGCTCCTGCGCAAGGCTCTGCAGAACTCCAACGTCTCAAACTCTCTGAGATCCATGTCAGTGTCCTGTTGTCGCATCGCAATGTCGTGTTGTAATGCCTGGGCATGGGAATCAGCGAAGAATGGTGGACAGCATTCAAATGAACCAGCATTACTTTCCGAGGCAAGCAAGCAGCGAGCAAGCCTCCCTGAACGGGCCGGGGGCGGAGGGGGGGATCATAAGACTTGGAAAGACTGGTCCAAAGGCCCAAGAAAAAACCAAAAAAACAAGAACAAATAAGAAAGCACGTAGAAACAAAGAGAACCGCATTCATGTATCTCTCTTGGAAGTGCCCAAATGCAATTTTTCCCGAAAAGGGGCCCCGTGACCGAGGCCACCGCCAGAAGCATTGACAACGCGGTTTCGTACCGCGCCCTCCAATCCTCATCCTCGCAGTCATGGGTGGCTCGTCCCTTTTGGAGTTGGTACCCCTGTGGTGGTTTGAAAGGAAATCCAGGAGGAAACCAACTCCAGGGGGCTCCCCTAAAGAAACGACACACCCAACTGGAGAACTGCTACACACAAACCGAAAACATACATGGCTACAGAAAGTGTGCATACCTACACTTAACAAACTATGCGGTGTAGACAGTGGTGCCCAGTGCACCTGGCACACAACAAGCAAGAATCTTGACCCATGCAAAGAATCTCTGAACTATTTTTATTCGGGCAATCTGGCGCTGGATTTGCATTGCTGTCCTCCTCAATGGATGCGGTAGTGTCCACGGTCGACTCAGCCTGCAGGGCAGGTACATCCATTGAGATGCAACCGACAAGGGATCAACAAACATGCAAACGATGTGCGCGCGGACACACACACACACAACCCCGCACACACAACCCCCCACACACACACACACGCACACACCCATACACACACACACACAAACAAACAAACAAACAAACAAACAAACAAACAAACAGACAAGCAAGCAAGCAAGCAAGCAAGCAAGCAAGCAAGCAAGCAAGCAAGCAAGCAAGCAAGCAAGCAAGCAAGCAAGCAAGCAAGCAAGCAAGCAAGCAAGCAAGCAAGCAAGCAAGCAAGCAAGCAAGCAAGCAAGCAAGCACCACAACGCACGCAAGCAAGCAAGCAAGCAAGCAAGCAAGCAAGCAAGCAACACACGCAAACACACGCAAACACACGCAAACACACGCAAACACACGCAAACACACGCAAACACACGCAAACACACGCACCCACGCACCCACCCATTCACCCACCCACCCACCCACCCACCCACCCACCCACCCACCCACCCACCCACCCACCCACCCACCCACCCACCCACCCACCCACCCACCCACCCACCCACCAAATCTACCCACACACCCACGCACGCACGCACGGACGAGCGCACGCAAGCACGAATGCACGCACGCGTGCACGCGCGCACGCGCACACGCGCACGCACCGCACACGCACACGCACACGCACGCACGCACGCACGCACGCACACACGCACGCACGCACGCACGCACCCACACACCCACACACACACACACACGCCTGCCCGCCCGCCCGGGCGGCCGCCCGCCCGCCCACGCACGCACGCACGCACGCACGCACGCACGCACGGACACACACACACACACACACACACACACGTGCGAGCGCCAGCCAGCGAGCGAGTGAGCGAACGAGCACGTGTGTGTGTGTGTCTCTGTGTGTGCGCCTCTGTGTGTGTGTCTGCATGTGTGTGTGTGTGTCTCTGTCTGTCTGCCTGCCTGCCTGTCCGTCCGTCTGTCTCTGTGTCCGTGTGCGTGTCTGTGCCTGTGTGTGTCTGCGTCTGTGTCTGCATGTGCGTCTGTGTTTTTGTGTGTGTGTGTGTGTATGTGTGTCTGTATGTACGTGTGTCTGTGTGTGTGCCTGTGTTTGTGTGTCTGAGCGTGGCTGGGTCTGTGTGCCTCTGTGTGTGTGTGTGTATGTGTCTCTACGTGCGTGTGCGTTGCCAGTAATCTGATCAACAAGTGAATTTGAAATCATCAAGCGCCTTTAGTTGGAACTCTAAAGGAATCACGGCATAGTCTTTTGACCACGTGGGCACGGTAGGAGCTGCTCTGCTTTTCTTCCCAAAGCACCTTGAAAAGATACCACACTTTCAAATTGACTACAAATTGACCAACAACTGGAAGACCAGTCCCGCCTGCGGGGCAAAGGGGTCCGACAAGGGCAAGCGCTGCGCCTGTGGCTGTATGCCCGACAGTTTGGGAGACATTTGAAGGCGGTTCCTGGCTTTGACCTATGAAGCCAGGACGCCTCCTGGGTTGGTTCCCCTCATCTCATCTCAAAGGGTTAGAAGGATTGTTTTACAAAGGCTCTGCCACCATTTCTTTGCCCAGGTGGGAAAAACGCGGGGAACCGACACACCGAATCAAAAACGCCGAGCCAGTGCCAAAAAAATTGGACACTCGCAGGCGCTTCATCAACCCAGTCCTTGCACAGTTCGTACAGCTTATTTTCTCGCCCGTTCGTTGTCCCAAATTTTGCCCTGTTGCGTGGTTTGTTTCTCCACAAGCACATGCGGCAATGATCACGGAGTTGTTTGACGGTGCGCAATGCGCATCCAAGCAGCGCTGAATAGCTGTTTGATGGTTGGTGATCAGCCACTACCCAACCTTCGGTATGCTTCTTTCATCAACAATGAAGAGCATTGGAATGCCAAAGTTCAACGCCGAAGAGTAGTAGACTGGAGTTGTACACAGGCGACAACCCTCCAAGACTGGTTGGGCCTGGTTTTGTGTGGATCCCTTGAAAGAACAAACGCCCTCGCACATGCGATTTCGACTTGCTCCCCTTGCACCTGAGTGGCCGCAGGGCGGGCAGGCGCAGTTTGCGCGCTCCTGAAGGCCCAAGAGTCCTGTGCAAGCTTCGTGAGGCTGTGAAGGAGCCAACATGAAGCCAGCCATCTGGAGGGGCGCCTGGTGTTGACATGTTTTGACATGCACATCTTTGCACTTTTCTACTCATTCGTGAAGAACTGGATGGCCTCTTCGAACTCCAAATCAGTCGGCTGGAGGATGCTCTCACCGTTGAAGATTCCCTGCCACAGAAGCAATTTGGGCGTCTTCTTTGCGGACCCCACACTCCAAAAAGTAAGTTCCTTTGGTGTCCCTTTAAACCACAAAACGGGGGCGCCCTCAAAAAAGGACGCACCCATGTGGGCACCAGAGGCAGAAAGCCAAGGTGTTCTTTTGGAAAAGTAGATGGCACGGGCAAGTGATTGGAACCAAACTGACACCACTCACATCCATCAACCGAGTGCCTAAAAAAGGACGCCTATAACGACCAGTTTCTAGTGTCTCGTTCCGTTCACACGTGGGCCGGCGCTGCATTCCAATTGGCTGCAGGAACAGCTCGCCTGCAGGCATAGGTGGCCCGGATAGTTGGGAAACTCCGTGACCTCGACAGGATCCGGACGTCTCAACGGGTTCGGCACGGTGTCAGAAAGCATGGAGGGGGAATTTTTGGCCATCATATTATAATATGCATGGGACATAAATATGTCCCACCAGTATTGTCGGGGCTCGTTGAAATTCGTCACCATGGAGATGCTTCGATACACTCTCACGCCGTTTATCAGGCGCCAATCGGCCCTCCAAGCTCGTGGGTGCTTCCACGTTCGCTCTGGGTTCCGAGAGTCAACCACTTTTCCCTTGGTCAAAACACGTAAAACCCGAGTCATATTTCTTAGCGCTTGGGCGGTTCAGAGAAACTCAATGGGTAACCCGTGGGCTTCGGCTCAGCTCCGGGCGCGGTTGGGACCGCTCTCCCACTCCAGGCCACCGGGCCTTGGATCCAACGGGAGCCGGCGGAGACCCCTTGTGGGTGGATGGAGGGAAAACCAGAAGGAAACCCCAAGGTTTCAGCTTTCCTTTAGTGGGTGGTTTGGATTGGTTTTTGGTTCCCCCCTTCATGGGTGGTTTGGCGGTTCGGAGTTGGGTGGTCTTCTCTTTACCGTCTACAAGAACCGGGGCTTCTAATCCAGTGCCCAATCCCAAGCACCAGTGGGTAACCTGAAATT